TGCCCACCCATGCCATGCCACCATAACTGACTCTAGATTTTTAAAATTATGAAGTAGTGTTAAACTTGTCCAGTGGGTTTTCCATGCCTACTGAGACAATCATATATTTTGCCACTGTGCCCGTCAAATTGTTCTATTTTTTGTAGAGATAGTGTCTGGCTATGTTGCCCAAGCTGATCTCAAACTCTGGACCTCAAGCAATCCTTCTGCCTTGGCCTCCTAAAGTGCTGGGATTACAGTCATGAGCCATCACTCCCTGGCCTAAACTACTTTTTTACTTCCAGGGAGCATCGATTCAAGTTGCCTTGAATCTATGCTCCCCATTAATAGATTTTTAGCTGGGTGTGGCGGCTCACATCTATAATCCTAACACTTTGAGAGGCTGATGTGGGAGGATCACTTGAGTCTGGGAGTTTGAGACCAGCCTGGGCAACATAGCAAGATCCCATCTCTACAAAAGAATTAAAAAATTAGCTAGGCCTGGTAACTCACGCCTGTAGTCCCAGCTACTCGGGAGCCTGAGATAGGCAGATTGCTTGAGCTCAGGAGTTTAAGGTTGTTAAGCTCAGGAGGTTAAGGAGTTTAAGGTTGCTGTGAGCTATGATGACCCCCCATTGCCCACTCTATCCCAGGCAATGGAGTGAGACCCTGTCTCTAAAAGAAAACAAACAAAAAAATGGTTTTAAAAGTAAACTATTCTTGCATTCCTGGAATAAACCCTGCTTGGTCATTCACCAAACATATACACATGTATATACACATTCATGAACTTCACTGGATTGTTTCCTAATATGTTAGTTATGATTTTTAGTCTTATGACTGGTACTCTTTTTCCATTGTCTGGAATAGTTTATAAAAATACATAAACAGTTCCACTAACCATTGGCAAAGTACCAATACATCTGTAAGACCATGTGGGTATAGTATGTGTGTATATTTTTAACTTGTCATTCAATCCTTTTATTTTTTATTTTTATTTTTTTGAGTCAGAGTCTCACTCTGCTGCCTGGGCTAGAGTGCCGTTGGTGTCAGCCTAGCTCACAACAACCTCAAACTCCTGGGCTCAGGCGATCCTTCTACCTCAGCCTCCTGAGTAGCTGGGACTACAGGCATGTGCCACCATGCCCGGCTAATTTTTTGTATACATATTTTTAGTTGGTCAATTAGTTTCTTGCTATTTTTAGTAGAGACGGGGTCTCAATCTTGCTCAGGCTGGTTTCGAACTCTTGATCTTGAGTGATCCGCCTGCCTTGGCCTCCCAGAATGCTAGGGTTACAGGCATGAACCACCAAGCCCAGCCAATCCTTTTAGAATTTATATATCCTGTTCAATTTTTCTATTTCTTTCTGAGTCAGAAAGAGTCAGAAAGACTCAGAAAGAAATAGAGTCTCTCTATTGGCTGTCTCTCATCTCATCCCCCAACTCTGCGCCTCCTCTCCCGTCCCTGCTGGCAGTAAACCCAAACCCTTCGTCACCAGAACCAGTGTCCACCCAGACCCACAGTCCACCCAGCCTCTGGCCTCTAGTTTCGTCTGTTTCTAACACCTGGGATTTCACTTTCCTTTTGAAAACTCAATCATATGTTCAATTTTTTTTCATATTTTATCCAGTATTTCCAGGTGGGGAGGACTGCTTTTAGATTTGATAATTCCTCCATCTTACTTGGTTCTGAAGTTGTTCCTGTTTTATCGACAAGAAAGCTGGAGTTCAGAGTGGTTTTATAGCCTGTCAGAATCACTCCATTCATACTTTTAACCTGATTTTTTTTTTTTTGTGAGCCAGAGTCTCGCTTTGTTGCCCAGGCTACAGCAACAAAGTGAGTGCCGTGGCGTCAGCCTAGCTCACAGCAACCTCAATCTCCTGGGCTCAAGCAATCCTCCTGCCTCAGCCTCCCAAGTAGCTGGGACTACAGGCATGCGCCACCATGCCCGGCTAATTTCTTATATATATTAGTTGGCCAATTAATTCTTTCTATTTTATAGCAGAGACGGTGGTCCGCTCTTTTAGGCTGGTTTCGAATCCTGATCTCAAGCGATCCGCCCGCCTCAGCCTCCCAGAGAAACCTGATTATGAATCCAGATTTCCTGTTCCGAGCCCTGTGCTCTTGCCATGTTGTTCTATGCTGTCTTCCGAAGCGATGAGGCAAACTAGAGGGCACTACCAGGTTGAAGGGAGAGACTCTCCTCGGCGAGAGACAGGGCCAGGATGAGGCTGAGCGAGGGCTGGATGATGCTGGAAAATAGGGAGGAAGTAACAGGTAATGGCATGCGACACTCACGGGCTGCAGCCGCCGGAGGGAGAATCATGGCCTCCATTCATCCCCTCTGAAATCCTGGAATATCTGGCCCCTGTCCCAGGTCCTGGCATGAATGCTTCCATTGAACCAATATTTACGGTCGGGTCCAGTGTTAGGTCCAGGTATGGCAAAAGTGAGCATCTGCAGTGGTCCCTGCCCTCAGCGTCTTACATTCCATGGGGCGACAGAAATCAATCAAATAACCAACAAATGTACAAACTTCAAACTGCCAAGTGCCTCCAAGGAAAAGTATACCTTAGTGTGAGAGCTCATAAGGGGAATTTGACCTTGAAAAGAGGTCAGGGAACTTCCCTGCGGATGCTGAGAAGCTGAGACCTGAAACATGGGGAGGCGCTCACCAGGAAGAAACAGAAGGAGCCTTTTGGGCAAAGGGTCCAGCCTACCCAAAGGCTCTTCGCAGGAGGAAGCACAACATGGACAGGAAGTGGAGCTCGTGGAGTGAGGGGAGAGAGTGTGGTGGGAGACGAGCTGGAGAGATGGACCACCGTCAGAAGAGCCTTGGGCCACGTGAAGCACTGGGGTCTTTAACCTAAGTCAATGGAAAACTATTGAATGGTTTTAAGTAGGCTGATGAAACAATCAGTTTACATTTTAAAAGTCCCTCTCAGCCTAGGCTCACGCCTGTAATCCCAGCACTCTGGGAGGCTGAGGCGGGTGGATCATTTGAGCTCAGGAGTTTGAGACCAACCTGAGTAAGAGCGAGACCCGTCTCTACTAAAAATAGAAAGAAATTATCTGGACAACTAAAAATATACAGAAAAAATTAGCCGGGCATGGTGGCGCATGCCTGTAGTCCCAGCTACCTGGGAGGCTGAGGCAGAAGGATCGCTTCAGCCCAGGAATTAGAGGTTGCTGTGAGCTAGGCTGACGCCACGGCACTCTAGCATGGGCAACAGAGCGAGACTCTGTCTCCAAAAATAAAATAAATAAATAAATAATAGGCCGGGCGCGGTGGCTCACGCCTGTATCCTAGCTCTCGTGAGCCGAGGCGGTGGATTGCTCGAGGTCAGAGTTCGAAACAGCCTGAGCAAGAAGCGAGGACCCCGTCTCTACTATAAAATAGAAAGAAATTAATTGGCCAACTAATATATATACAAAAAAAAAAAATAGCCGGGCATGGTGGCGAATGCCTGTAGTCCCAGCTACTCGGGAGGCTGAGGCGGGAGGATTGCTTGAGCCAGGAGTTTGAGGTTGCTATGAGCTAGGCTAACGCCACGGCACTCACCCTAGCCTGGGCAACAAAGCAAGACTCTGTCTCAAAAATAAAATAAAATAAAATAAAATAAAATAAATAATAAAAATAAAAGATCCCTCTCACTCAGGTGTGCATATTTTAGGGAAAGCCATTCCCAGCCTCTTCAGCCACTGCAGTGACTCAGAAGCTAGCCAGTGGTCTAGATGCAAAGGAGTCGACAGACTTCAGCTATGTTATAGCAGATAAAATCGTTAGGACTAGATGCTGGATTCAATATTGAAATGCTCACACTGAGATGCTCGCCCCTAGGTCAAGTCCCCTGAAGGCAGGGGTCACATTGTATGACTGCAACATCCAGGTCCCAGAATAGCCCCTGCCACGTGGCAAACTCAGTACACATTTCCTGAAAGGGTGAAAATGATTTGCGGTCTCTCTGGTGATCCTTTCACCTGTAAAGATGTTTAATTCCTTCTTGCATGTGTCAATAACGGACCTGCACGATACATCACAGGGAGAAATGTCAATTTCCAAAGAGTATACCTTGGGGCAAGTTAATACAAGAATAAGGTCTCATCACGCTGTATCATGAACAGTGACAATACGCTCGATGCAAAGTGTTGCCCAAAGGAATAACTGCCCCAGAGGAACCTTCCACAAGGGTGAACGATGACAGCTCCCTCTCCAGTTGCCAGGCTGGGATGAAGAATGCCAATCTGGAGGGATTCCTGGTTGACCCTGTTCAAAATCAGTTTCCTAGCACGTGACGAGGACATTAAGCAAACCATTTTGCAAAAGAAGTGCACATGACAGGACATACACTGCTTGTAGTGGCAACTCAGTACCTTGGCAGCACCGGGGAAAGTTGTAAATTGAAGAAATGGGTGGTCCCGTCAGGGATGTCTGCACCTAAAAGTGTTTCTAAGTTGTCCTGAGGTCTGCCTTGAGCGTCTTGCCGCACACAGCCCTGTTCTCCTTTCCCCACTCTCTCCTCCAAACTCCCCTGGCTCCTTCCTCTGGTTCCCACCTCCTCCCCTTCCCTCGCTTTCCCTTGGCCCCACGCTTCCGCCTGTTTCATCCTTCAATGAGAGCCCGTCCGCGCAGCTGGGAAGAGCAGGCTGCAGCTGGGCTTTGTTCTTAGAGCTAAGTGCAAGAAGGGTTTTAGAAAGTACTGGGGTCCCGAGAACAGGCCTGGTGAGGCCAGGAGTGGGCAAGGGAGGTGGCATCATCAGATAGGGATGTTGGGTGTGGCTTTAGCACCGGAAGAAAGAAGGACCCACCAGCGTCTGTGGGAGAGTGATGGGCTGGGTGGGATTGGTGAGGGGACTACGATTTGCTGGTGGGGTTTGTCACAGAGATCTCTGGAGATTAAGTTCTCTCTTTAAAATGACTCCGTTAAGACAACCCCAGAGAATCTGATCCATCCATGACAACAGCAGGTCTGAGACAGCCTGGTTAAATTTCTCAGATAGAGGACAGGAGAGGGGAAAGTGCGCAGGGACCTTTTATTTATTTAAACAAACAACAACAACACACACACACAGATTCTTTTCTAAGAAAAGTCTTTTCCAGGGCTGGGAGCTCCCTCAGAGATCAGCACTTTGGCCTAGAGTGAGATGGACCTGGCCATTCCAGCTTTAAGTAGGTCCGGGTGAGACACTCTGGCCACCCCATGTGGTTGCCCTGAAAGTCCCTCTGGCTGGGGGTGGGGTGGGAGGTGGAGGAGTCTGTCACCAGGGCTGCCCTTCTGCCCTCCTCCAGTGCTTCAGGGTTGTAGGGGTGCTGCCACAGGGGCTCTAACTCCACTCTCCCCACTCCAAGAGGCCTGGTGTCATGGCAGATGGGTAATGTGAGTGAAGTCACAGCCACGGAGGCCAGAGCAGCAGGGCCTGTCCGTGGTGTGGCCCTGCTGTTGCCGCACCAGGTTGGAGTCATAAAGCTGCCTGCGGTCTCACCCTATGGACTTGCTGGCGCTGCACCAGCCCTGCGCTCTCCCCGAAGCCCTTGCAGTGGTGGAGCCAGTCCCCACGGTAGTCCTAACGCTGGTGCTGCAGGCTGGAGTGGCAGCCAGTGCCCTCGGCACGCTGGGGCAGGGGAAAGGCTTCTCGCTGTGTGCTGGGCTACACAGAGGTGGGCCACTGCCAGAGCCTGGGGGAAGAGCAGACCAGAGTCCTAGCAGCTGTGGACTAGCAGGGGAACCAAGTGGTGGACCCACTGGTGGACCATGAACCAGGAGTGCTGGCTGAAGCCACAGCAAGTCTCACTGACAGGCAGGGCATCTCCCCCATGGAGGCTAGGGTGGCACCCCAGCCCCCACCCACAGGCGGCGCAGACACGGGGTGGCCGATGGATGGCCCGTGTGTACGGGGCATGCTGCAGCTGCCTAGAGCTCTGGGAGAAGCCTTGGCGCACGGGCTGCAGTGCCGGGGCTCAGCAGTGCTGGGCCAGGCATGCGCTGATAGCGGTGGCCACACTCACTGAAGGAGTAGGGTCTGTGTGGAAGTGTAGGTACAGGGTCAGGTGGGCCCCTTAGCTGAAGCACTTCCCACATCTGGGGCAGGGAAAGGGCTCCAGAGCTCGGCTACTGCATTCAGACTCATGATCTGCTCTGGTTTGGGGTAAAGTGGCAGGGGTGGGTGGGTGAGTGGTGGGTAGGGTAAGGGGGAGAGAGGCTCCTCCTACATCTCCCCTAACTGCCCCCCCAAGGCTCCTCTCTTTCCTTCTCCAGCTCAGTCCCACCTCTTAACCACCCCACCGGCCCACAGCCACCCTCCTGCTTGGGCCACCTTTCATTCAGGCCGTAAGGAAAGGAGATGAGGTGTCACTGAGCTGCTTGCAGCAGTGCTCTCAGCCTCAGTGCACAGGAGAATCACACGGAGGCTTGTGGAAACACAACTGCTGCCCCTTCCCCAGTTTTCATACAGCAGATGGGGGGCAGCAATGTGCATTTCTAACAAAATCTTCCCAGGAGATCATGCTGCTAGTCCCCATCCACACTGGGGGAACCACTGCCCTGTCAGGCATGTTGCTTCACTGGTAGTATCTCGTTAAATCCTCATGGCAACCTGGCATTCTCTCCATTTTGCAGGCAGGAGTAGTTATCTTTTCTTGGTGGCTAGGTAGAGAGGACTTACCCAGGGCAACGGGTTCTTGTATGTCTCCCACAGGGCGTGACCTACACAAAGTGCCCTGCGCGGGAGTTCGCGGTTGCGGAGGGTGGGCGGGAGAGCAGGCGGGCGGCGGGCGGGGCAGTGCGCGAGCGCGGAGAAGGGGAGGGCCGGGCGACCGTGGCCACGCGGAGCCGAGAGCGCAGACAGAGCGACCAGGGAGGCGGCAGGCTGTTCCAAAGTGAAGCAAGAGGCAGAAGAGGCTGCCAGGTCGCGCAGGGCTGGGAGAAGGAGAGTGAGGGGAGATGCTTCAGGCCCTGGAACCAGAAGAGAGGCCGGTTAATTCCATACTTAATTCTAGCTTCCGCTTGGCGTCGCCCCCACTCCTCCGCACCTGCTTGTCTCCTTTGAAGTTCCAGGGGCAACGCCCACCCGCCTCCTGCCCCAGCCTCCCAGGGCCGTCACAGCCCTGCCACTTGGCTTCCCAGAGGAGGGGAGTCAGGGTCTCCGGTGCCGGGGAGGCGGGTGCAGAAAGAGCCCCTACAAGGGTAGAAGTGGGTGTTTACTTCTGCAGGCCAGGGGGCTCCGGGGGTGACCAGCCAGGTCACCAGGTCTGCAGTACTTGCGGGGGGTGGAGAATGCCTATCGGCATCTGCAGTATTGAGGGTCCCAGGGACGAGGGGAACACACAAGAACCCCCAAGGGTGGCGTAGGGTGCCCTCGGGCCGGCGGGCGGCCGCCCAGTCTGCGGAGCGAGGAGGGCCACGAGGGCTTCACCTGCTCGGCTGGCTCCTCGGCCAGAGAGAACCGAGCGAGGGGGAGGCATTTGGGGCGCGTGGGGCGAGGGCTCCAAGGGCAGCGGAAACAGGAAGTGAGGCTTGCAGCGTCAGTCTCATCTGGAGGAGCAGTGTGTCTCCCCCTGGCCCCTGCGCGGCCCGGACGGGAGCGCAGTCGTGCCCCGGCCGGCCCGCGGAACTCCAAGCCGAGGGGCGGCCCTCCCTCGGCTCCGCGCCGCCGGCCGGCACAGCCGCGCAGCCCTGCGGACCGCAGTGGCAGCCCTGCCCGCCCTTCCAGGAGAGGCGGCGCGAGGGGCTGCAGGGACGTGAGCCGGAGCTCTCCCTTCCCGCCCCCGCCCCCGCTTGCTTTCTTTTACGCAGCTATAGAAACCGGCTCCTCGCAGCGGTGAGGGGTGACTTCCCTCCGGAGCATCACGGGCCTGTCCGTGTCTACAAACATGCCTTTCTCTCTGAGCCACTTTCCGGCTTTCCCTTTGCATTGGGACCACGGATTTAAGTCTGGGCAATTCCGGTTTTAGGAGCAAGTTTGAGATCTGACTTCACACCTCTCCGATCTTCATCCTTTCTCCCCCCAGCTTCACGGATCTTTCTGTTCTCATCCGTATTTGCCAGGTTGGAGGTTCCGAAAAGAACATGGTGAATAACCTCGGACATGTTCTCCCCATTTCCAAGGCTAATCCTACGTGATTTCTAGGCCTCCCTTCTCAACCTTTTTTCCTTTTTTCTTGTACACCCCTGATAAACAGAGACACAGCACTGCAGGTTTCAAAGAGGAAAAAAAACCACATTTGTTGTTGGTGGGAGGGAGTGAAGGGGAGGGCTCTTCGCCTCCCCACACCTTGTATAGACGGGTGGCTGGGGGCAATAGAAAAGGCAGCAGACGGGGGCGTATGCCTCGCTCTGTACAATATAGAAGAATCTGATATAGATACTTTGTATAAAAGCCACTTGTCCTCATTTGTGCCTCTTGCTGGCTGACTGGGGCGCAGTGGGGGACAAAAAAGCTGGGGTGATGGGCCAGGACACAGGGACATCCCATGGTCCCCATCCTCTGGCTGTCCCTTCTGGGGTCACTTTGGATCCTTGGTGGGGGCGTAGCAGAGCTCCAGTGGCCGTGACACCTTCCAGAACTTCTCATTCACCAGCTCCAGGGTCAGCGAGCCATTCAGCGTCTAGGTAGGGGGTAGAAGGGAGAGGCAAGGAGAAGACAGAAGAAAGTTGGAGAAGATGGAAAAGGAAATGGATGAATGAGAGGCAAAAGGTGACCGAGGGAGGAGGGAAGGAAAAAGGAAAACACAAGGGACAGGGCGAAGCAGGAGCACACGGAGATGGGAGAAGGGCATGGAGGGTACAGAGGGAGAGAAGAGGGCTGGTGAGTTCCGTGGTCAGGCTCCTGGTTCAGTGTGGCCCCAGCCTACCCTCCGTCCTCCCCTCATACCACTGCCCTCACAGGCTCTCACCGTGAACGCTCCGCCTCCGGGTGCGATGTAGATGGTGTACTGCTTTTCACTGACGCCCTCCAGGCTGGGCAAAGCAGGCTCCTCAGGACCATCACCTCCTCCAGCACCTCCACCCTCCCCACCACCCCCATCAGGTCCTCCCCCAGTGTCAGAGGCAGCCCCGCCAGGCCCTCCTGGCTCCCCCGCCTCTTGTTGCTGCCGCCGCTCGAGGGCAATCCGCAGGGCCAAGTACTTGGAGAGGTGATCTACTGTGGCATTCCCAGTTGTCTTCACATACCTGGAGTTGGAAAGAGAGCGGGCTTACAGCATGGGAAGCCTCAAATGGGGAAAGGGGTAGGGGCTTTTGAAAGGGCTGGGTTTGGGAAAAACCCACTTCTGATGGAAATCTCCATGATCTTTGGTTTCTCAGTGGGCTGGGGAAAGACAGGGCTCCTCACCTAGTCTGGCAGTATTCTCCCTTCTCCACGAGCAGAGGGTGGGGCCGGAACACGAGCTCAATTTCTCCACCTGGCTCCGGGGGACTGGGAGCCCCAGGAGGGCTTGGGGGGCCCAGAGTTCCCCCTCCCAGGGTCCCTCCCCGGTCACCAGAGTCTTCAGAACCGGCACCCCCACCCACCCCACCAGTGCCACCTCCTCCTGTCCCTACACTGCTCCCCCCTGCACCCCCTCCACGGGGTCGCTTGGGAGCAGGGCCTGGGGCAGAGTCAGGGGCAGAGTCTGAGCTCACATCCTCTCCATCCCCCTCGCCCTCCCCGGGCTCTCCTTCCCCCCCACTCATCGCTGTGGTCTGATCTGACCCGGGCATCGGCCGTCTCACACGCTGGGCCCTGTAGAAGCAAGTGGTTAAGGTTAGAATGCATCAAGGATAAGGGGCTTAGACTTTAAGCTTCAGAGAATTAAGAGATCAGGGAAATCCTAATGATAATACTTAATATTCATTAAACATTAACTATATGCCAAGTGCTCTGCTAAGTGTTTTGCACCAATGCCCTCACCTAACACAACAAATCCTATGATGCAGGTAATTATTTGTTTTATGGCTGAGAAAACTGAGGCTTAGAGAGGTTAAGTAACTTGTTTGAGATCATAGACCCTCTCCTGTCAAAGTATAGTCCAAGAACTAGTAGCATAGCATCACCTGGGAGTTTGTGAAAGGCAGACCCTCAGGCCCACCTCTAGATCTACTGAATCAGAGTTTGCATTTTTAATAAGACCAACTGGTAATGTGGTACACATTAAAGGCTAAGTGATGCTGATGTAGGAAGTGAGTGATTTAATCCCCAGCAATATGAATCCAGAGCTTACTCTCAAAATCACTCTACTGTTCTAACTTCTTGAAAGTCAGAGGATAAACTGTATTTTTCTTAAGAATAGCAGTGCCAGTTGCTCACTAAGAAGCTGCAATTTACATCCATGATTTCCAGGCTTAACTATCAGGCCGTGCTCAGCTCTTAGGATGCTGAGGCTTATAAGCTAGCAGGCAGCAAAGACAGTACTAGGAATCTGACACACAGACCCGTCCCACTAGTCCTGCTTCAGCCTCTTTCCTGACCCCTGCACCTGTGCATGGCCTGCATGCGCAGCCCCTCCTCAATGCTGGAGCTCAGTGCCTGCTGGTTGTGCAGGCGGCTGAGGCGGATGAGCACTCGGTCCTGGTGGGCTTCATATTCCTCCCGACTGGGATAGATCTTAGAGATCAGGGCATCAAAGTTGGGATCTGGCCGTAGGGATCTCTTGGATACCAACTTCTTGCGACAGGTAGGGCACTCCTTGTTCCTGGAGTAGGAGAAAGGAAGTCCTGGGCAATCAATCCAGGGAAGTGAAGCCTAGGCTGAACCAGGACCAGTGAGAGTCCAACTCCATACCCCTCACCCCATCTCAACCATGGCTCTGCAGTTACCCGCTCCGCAGGGCTGTGACAATGCAGTCAGAGCAGAATCGGTGGAGGCACTCCTTGGTGGTCATTGTATTCTTCAGCATGTCCAGGCAGATGGGGCACATGAGTTCTGAATGCAGCGAACGAGGGGAAACCGCAATCTCTGTGCCATCCATGATGGCTTCCTAGAGGCACCAGTGAGTGGGAAGGTGGTGTGGGTTGCGGGGAAAGGAGTTTTAGAAACCAGCAGTCCATGAAATAAGTGTTTTGTGAAATACAGTGAGATGGCAGAATCTGGGTACCCATGTTGGCCACTAGAGGAGGAAGGGAATTCAGAGAATGAGGGGGGCCATTGACTTGGAGAGAATGGAGAACAGAAAGGAGTAGTCTCCATTAACTAAGAGCAACTTTGGAATATGGGGATCTGAGGTTTAGTGAGAGGCCTAGGGGTGGGGACAGATTGGTGGTTTGGAGTAAATTTATTCAGCAGAATTTCTTAAAGTGTGGTCCTGGTACTACTTATATCAGAATCCCCTACGGTTCTTGTTACAAATGCAGATTTTGAGGCCCCATCCTGCTACTGAGTCAGAATGTTAGTGGGCATGAAGCTCTATGTTTAATAAACTCCCAAAGTGAGTCTTATATGCACTGCCCTATGACGCTGAACTGAGGAACAGGAAGGTAATTTCTGTGTTTGCTTACTATCTTTCAAATGAATATAGTAATACTTACTCTACCTCTCTGGTAGGGTTGTTTTGAGGATTAAATGAGATTAAATGAGTTAAATGTGAAAGTGCTTTGCAAGAGTAAGGTGACTGAAAGGTAGGACTGGGGAGTCTGGAATCGAGCAGGGCTGAACAGAGCAAAGAATGAAAAAGGCTGTGTGACCGGGTCTGCGGATTGAGGGGTTTCGGGGAAGGGGTAAGCTGGGAAAGGAGAATCCCTGTCACCTGCGGGGTCCGATGCAGCTCGTACAGACTCAGTTCCCACGTTTTGCTGGCATTCTGGGCATTCGCCGGCGTCGTCATGGTGATCGGCAGACACCCACCAGGGCTCCGCCGGCGCGGAGGAGAGGAAGGCTGGGGGTGGGGAGGGTGTCAGGGGCCGCCCTCGCGCAGACCCCGCCCCTCGGAGGCGCCCTCTCCGGCCCCGCCCGCGCCGCCCCTCACCCGGCTCGGGCAGTCCGCGCTCTCGCTGCCGCCGCGCCTGCCTCGGGGCCCGGGCTCCTGGCCGAGTTCGCGCGGTCCGCAGCCGCTGCTCAGACAGCAGCTCCCGCCGCCGCCGCCGCCGCCGCCATGGCCCGGGCGCTGGGGCCCTACGTCACTTCCGCCTGCCCCCCCACTCCACTCCCCCCGGCCGAGACGTCACCCGCCACTCGCCGCGCGGGTGGCACGGGACTGGACGCGGGGTTCCCCACCCGCGAGACGCGCCCGCCCCACGCGGGGAGCCGACGTCCCGGGAGTCCTGCGCCACGTGGGGACCGCGGCGTCCGCTCCCGGCCCGGCGGCGTCGCGCGGCCAACGGCCGTGGCCGCGGTTCCCACCCGGGGCCCCCACCCGGGGCCTCTCCCAGGGGCGGGGCCTGGGGTCTCTCAGGCCCGGGAGGGGACGGCGGGCTCGGGAAAGGGGCCATCTCCCGACTCCGGAGTCCCCCGGCGGCCCTGAGGATCACCCCTCCACCCACCCCCAACACCCCGCAACACACACAACTTCTCCGAAACCCCAGCCCAGGACGCCGGGGAAAGAGCTGCGAAAGATCCTCTGCCTCTTTAGTCCTCCGTCCTGTGCGCGCAACTAGGTCCAGATGTACCCAGGATTCCCTTTATCACCCTGGGGACTTGGTCCACCCTCCGCCC